AGTCTATATCTCCCGTCATGTCATCTTCGATGAAACATCATTTCCTTTCCCTTTGTTGTCTTCCCCGGTTCCACATAATCTTCCCACATCCTCACAGTTCAAACCTCCTTCCTTTCTCATTCCAAAAACCCTTCCGTAAAAAGCGCCTTCTTCTCCACGTTCTTTTCAGACGTCTGTTTCTATGTCCTCTCTACCTAGTGTCCCACCTTTGTCTGACAAATTAGTTTCGACCTCCTCTGTCCCCCCACCTCATCCTATGGTCACTCGAAATAGGGATGGCACTCGTAAACCTAAACAAATTATCTCTCTTGCTGCTACTACCACCTCTCTTCCCATAGAACCTCATTCTTTTACGGAAGCAAATAAATACCCTGAATGGCGTGCAGCCATGAGTGATGAATATAATGCTCTTATTTCAAATCACACATGGGATCTAGTCCCGCCTCCTATCTCCACAAATGTAATTGGTTCTAAATGGATTTTTTGTGTTAAACTCAAGTTTGATGGCTCTCTTGATCGTTGTAAAGCACGTTTGGTCGCTCAGGGTTATAATCAAAAACCTGGCATTGACTATGATCAAACGTTCAGTCCCGTGGTTAAACCAGTGACAATTCGGACTGTCTTAAGTATTGCTGCTTCTCGTAAGTGGCATGTTCATCAGTTGGATGTTAAAAATACTTTTTTGCATGGTCATCTAAATGAACTTCTCTACATGAAATAACCTACTGGTTTTGTTCATCCAGACCATCCTCACTATGTCTATCGCTTAAATAAGGCTCTTTATGGCTTAAAGCAGGCTCCTCGGGCTTGGTTTCACCGGTTCACTACATTTTTGCTTGCACAGGGTTTCAAAGCCAGTCGTTCTGATTCTTCTATGTTTGTTTATTCTGCGAGTTCTGATATGGCTGTGTTGTTATTGTATGTGGATGACATCCTTTTAACTGCCTCCAGTGATCGTCTTGTTACCAATCTTGTTCAGTCTATGAAAGGTGCTTTTGCTATGACTGATCTTGGTCTTATCAGTTACTTTCTGGGTGTCTCTATCTCTCCACAGTCTAATGGCTGGTTTCTGCATCAATGCAAGTATGCTGAGGAATTATTTTCTCGCAGTCATCTCATGGATGCTAACCTTGTTGCTGCTCCCCTGGGTCCGGTTTTTCAGTTCTCTATGGAAGATTCTCCACCTTTTCACAATCCAACTCTCTATCGCAGATTGGTGGGTGCTCTACAATACCTCACTTTCACTCGTCCGGATATCCAGTATGCGGTAAATCTTGTCTGTCAGTATATGCATGATCCTCGAGAACAACATTTTCAGGCGGTCAAGCGTATTCTTCGGTATATTAAGGGAACTCTTCACTATGGTATCCATCTTCGTGCTGGTCCCCTTGATCGTCTTGTGGCTTAAACCGATGCTGATTGGGCAGGGTGTCCTACAACTCGTCGTTCTACCACTGGGTTCTGTGTCTTTTTGGGATCCTCCTTGGTCTCTTGGTCCTCCAAAAAGCAGTCTACGGTTTCGCGCTCTTATGCAGAATCTGAGTACCGCGCGGTTGCTTCCACCTTAGCCGAGACTATTTGGTTGGAACATCTTCTTTCTGAGCTTCACATTACCCTTCCCCAGTCTCCTGTTATATTGTGTGATAATGTTTCTGCTACTTACCTTGCTGCCAATCCTGTTTCTCATGCCAGAACGAAACACATTGAGTTAGATATTCATTTTGTTCGTGATCAAGTTACAACTGGTCTTCTGTCTGTTCGTCATATTCCTAAGCAGTCTCAGCTGGCGGATGTTTTCACCAAGTCCTTAGCTAAAGATAAATTTTATGTGTTTTGTACCAATTTTGGCATGATATCTTATCCTACTAAGATTGCGGGGGATGATAGGATGTGTATTTTAGGTAACCCTAAATAGGGTTTCGGTAGACGGTTAGGGTTTATATAAATCATGACTATATATATTATACAACATGTACATGAACAAATATACAAGAAATTAAAATTAATCTTTTCACTGCAGAATGACCAAAGTTTGACAGTCAAGTCCAACGATCAGTCACTCTATTTAATAAACTCTAATGTTCAAACCATTAAAAGTTAGAGTACGGTATATGACACTGAAACTAGCAAGCTTTACAGCAACGCCGTGTGAAAACTGGGATCGAATATCAAATATGTCTAGTTATATGTTATGGTATTTTGTCAATTTAAGGCGAAAAGCTCTGCAAATAATCAGGTACCTTTTGTCATGAAACAATTATCTAATTCGAATCTTCATTCGTAGCGACTGTGGGAGTATTAACCTAAATCGGGAATTTCCGTGTTTGAACCAAATAATTAATAGGAATATGATTATATTGAAGTAAAATTGCGGTACCAATATATTGTTATTATTGTCATCAAAACTGAACATTACAAGCACACCCAAAAAGGCTAAGTTGAGGAATACATTTCAATTAGCGCCTTCATGGTTGATCAATTACGTACTCCACCAACCTTTGATCAGCTATGTTACTCGGACTCTTCTATTTGGGGAGAATACCCGTGTCATGTCGTGTCGATACTGGTGTAGGTATGAGTGTCGGGTGTGGCATTTTAGCCTAAAATGTCAAAGATTACATTTCTAAAATATTGACGAGTCGGACACTCAGATCCCCGAACTCGATACGACACCCATATCCGAGTCCAAGTAACATAGCTGATCAGTAAAATGGGGGTTGGGAGAGTTTTACCAGGAAGACATACACAGAATACATATTGCTTTGTATGGGTTTTTACAGCATTTGTTCTTCCTATCCAATCCAGTTGGGATCATCATCACATAAAATTCAAGGCGCGTCAGGTTGAAATTAGTTTGCCAACTGATGAAGCTTTGACTACATATGGTCACTTAGAATTGGTGATTGAAGGAGTTTTTCCGGGCAGTTGCCAACACAGTTTTGTCGGCCACGATAAAGTAAGCCATCCCGGCAACAGTGGAGACAATGAGAGCTTAAGCAGTTGGGTTCAAATGTGCTCTTGCCCATGGCAGCATCCTTGTGCTAGCCATCTGCATGCATTAACATTTACGTTATTAATTTTTTTGTTTTGAAGGAAATAATGTAAATCTTTAATTATAAGTATGAGAGAAAAGTTTGATGGAGAGGGGCTCACAGTTGGGATGGCAGTTGCAATGGAAGCAACAGCAGCTGCTTTTGCTCCGGCAACAACTCCCTCTGCATTTTCAACCAAAAAGAAAAGAAAAACAGAGTATTTCAATTCATTGTCAAAATGTATGTAATTTGTGGGTTATACAAGAATTTGCTGATGTTTTGGAAATATAATTTGTAAGTTGATTTCCTTGACAGGGGATAGAGAGAATTTACTATTGCTTCTGGTGTTTTGTTGCTGAGTGCTCTATAAAGATTGGCAGTTTATAGGATAATAGTAATGGCATAGATGATAGAACAGGCCATTAACCTACAGAGAGAGTTTGATGGTTTTCAGATAAGATCCAACGTTGGGAAAAATAAGAGTAAATAATTTCGCCAGTAATGTTGTATAAGGTTACAGTAATTTTGGTGCGCAATTGGCAATTTCCCACTCATCTACAGCGGTCCTTCTAATTAAGTGGCAATTTAGGTAGGACTAGGACCCAAAAAAGATGGTCAAATTCTGTCATTTTTGGGATTCCTTTTTCTAACTTTTCACATATTTTGGAATGGATTGAATTAAAATGGTTTTTCATTGTAATGAAGGTACGGAAATTGGAGGAAGAGACCTTATCCGGAATTGCAGTCATTTGCACAGACTCGTAGTTCTAACCAGACACCATAAATTTTGAACCAGATTCCAAATGTATATACATTTGGGCGTACTATAATTTACTGCTTATTCCGTACGGGAGAGTCGGCTGTATTGTTTCAGTATTGTCTGCCTTCTGTAGTGTTCAGTAAGAACAGAGAGAAGCCAATGGTTTGAGTAAAAAGGAGAGGCCATTTTCCATATAGCCAAATTCCCAAAACCATGGGTGGGATATGAGACGAGAGACTGATCCTGAACGTTTATTAAACCATGTGATCTTATTTGGATCTTGTGTCACAATCAATTAAGGTTTTATTTACATAGGGATTAGATAATTAATTACCATTAGTACTCCCTCCATCCCATAATTATCATGCAGTTTGGGTTTTCATTTTTAGTTCAAATTATACTAAAAGTAAAATATCAAACTGGATAATTATTTTGGGACGGAGGAAGTACATCTTAACTACCAGGACAAAGCTCAAATATTTCAACTTTTCTAACACATCAATCACCCTAGTTTACATATTTAGTAACAATGTGATCATGCTACCCTAGTTTTAATTAGTTGCACAAGTGAACCATAAAAGTAATTGTATTTCCAGACTCTTTGAAAACATATATACAACTTAACTTTTGATCCATCTTTTGCCGATTAATCCGAATTTATTATGATAATTCCATTTACCTGATCCAGTAGTCTCCATGCAACAAGACCCGGAACGACGTTAAATAGTTTGATCATTATTCTCCACGAAAACCACAACAAAACTTATTATAAATTCACGTCTGGGGTGGCTTTGCATTTGATCATGGATGGAAGATTGCAACTTACTTTCAGAGCTCTCCGGTTATTCGTCATACGTCCAAACCTGATTCACAATCTTTTGTCTTGAAATTTTTATTGTGGGCTGAATTACTGCTGATTGCTTTAATTTCCTCGTATCTTTATTCTTCTTTCTAAATTAATGAATTATAATTAGTTTCGAGTATGTTCCAATAGTTCCAAAGTTTACTTAACAAAAAACAAACAAATATTTTTGAAGTTTCTATATTCTTAAAATACTAATCTCTTTCCAGTAACTACCATGTATATTCACTAGGAGTCTAGGACTTAGCTCGAAGATTCTTGAGATTTTTAATTTTAAAACTTTATGTATATACACGCAATAGCAACTTGCGTTACATGCTCCGAAGAGGAAGGAACAAATTTGAGAGGCATTTCGTATTTTATTTGAATAAGCTAAACTAATTAATTAATGGTACTCCTAATTAATGGCAAGAACAAAATGATAAACGAAAACATTTGTGATTTTGGTGAAAATATATAACCATATCGAGACGAAATCTGAATAGGTGATCATATTATTAGCCACTCATGGCAGATACAAAGCCGGAGTTGCATTTATTAATCTTCTACAACAGAAAAAGGTAATACGTACGTCTATCTATTGGTTTTATTATTCGAGTATTTACAGCGGTAGCTAGCTAGCTATGGTAGGTAAAAATTACGGCCAAACAGGCTACATAGGCAGAAATCCTTTACGATTGGACCCAACTCGATCCGCTGCTTGCGAGCCCTTTGATTTTTTAAGCATGAACTGATTCATGATAAAAATGATGGGGGCAGTTGTGCTACTCGCCGAGAAACTCAATGGTTGAAGGAGTTTTTCCGGGCAGTGGCCAACACAGTTTTGTCGGCCACAATAAAGTAAGCCATCCCGGCAACGGTGGAGACAATGAGAGCTTGTGCCGTTGGATTCAGATGTGCCCTTGCCCACGGCAGCATCTTTGTACTAGCCATCTGCACATTTAATTTGCAATTTTTGATCAATAAAATTCTCATGAAGGACAAGAATTAGTTAGTAAGTATTCTCCTTCAAAATATATATATATATATAAAATAATTGTAAATGATAAAAAACAAGTATAATAGAGAAAAGGCCTTACAGTTGGGATAGCAGTCGCAATGGAAGCAACAGCAGCTGCTTTTGCTCCGGCAACAACTCCCTCTGCATTATCAAAAAAACATAGTGAACAATCTTTTTTACTATACATAGATTAATTTGGATGTTTAATTAACCCAAGTGAGGGAAATTAAATCATATATAGTTACCATGAGAACAACGTTTGGCAAGGGCTAGCCTCTGGTCGAGTGAAGTCAAGCTACAACTTCTTTCCAAAGGCGACTCAGCTACATTCTTGGCTGCCATTTTGTTTCAAAGTAGTGTACTACAGATTTTTGTTTGATGATAAATTAGAAAGCTGGGAGGAAAATGATAGAGAATATTGGTTAATTTGGTGTTGGGTGGGTTGTTGTGGATGATCAAGTGTTTTGGGGGGCTATTTATGGGCATTGTGGGCGTTACTGTTGCAAAGTGGATTTTGATGGTTTCAGATAATTTCCAACGTCGGACTTCTCCTGTTTTTTCCAATTTCTTAACTGTACTGTTTTTCAATCCTGCTTTTTCCTCTTTTCCGGGATCATGACTTGATTCCTTGTACTGTACGTGCTACATATAATATATACTTCTTCCCGTTTCAACAAAAATTATCTATATTGAGACTTCAAATTAATAATAAAATTAATACAATTCTTTCTTTTTTTTTTGGAACATATGGATTGATACTTAACACATTTGAATTTCTAATTGAATACTGAGTTAGATAGATTGTCTTTAATTCGGAAGATCAAATGTACCATGCACATTATTCTTTTTATAACTTTGGACCAATTGTTTACCGCTGAAATGGAATCCCTTTTACCACAAAAGAAAAATCGACCTTTGTTGAATATTTTGGTGCTTCCTTTGTCAACCTTTTCTTTTGGATCAATCAAATGCGCTTTATTTTTCTATCTATCATTCTATACGTATCCTGATGTATTGGAGTAAAAAGAGTATAGTAATGGGTAACTAACAGATATTTTTATTATCTTCATTTCGAGACATGAAGATGGGAGGAAGTAGGCGTAGTAACCTTATCCAGACACTCGTATTTCTAACCAGACACCTGAATTTTGCTGATTAATTAATTTATTGTTTGTTCGTACGGGGAGAGTCGGCTATGGTCAGTGAGAAAAGCAGAGAGAAGCCACTGGTTTTGAGTGAAAATGACTAATTATAAAGGAGAGGAAAATTATCATAAAGGCAGTTCTAGGCCAAAACCATGGGTGGATTGAGACTTGACACTGATCATGAACGTTCATTAACCATGTGATCTTCGGATCTTGTGTCACAAGTGATGAAGGTTTAAGGGTTACTTCTTTTTCTTTTCTTTTTTTTGAGAAAATGTACTAATTTAGTGGTTAAATAATAATAACCAGGACAAAACTCCGACCTTCAACGACGGATTACAATTAAAATTATCAAATCTTGTCGGTTGATCGAAACTCAAGTAAACACACAATCGTTTAATACTATCCGGAGAAAATCATGAAAATGATACAATAATGTATTTGGATTTTCGCCGACGTTAGTATCAATTTTGCAAAGAGGAGGATAAAGTCTACGAAATTATTTTAACAAAAAATAAACATCTTTTGAATTTACATTTGTACCAATAAGGAAGGGAAAAACATAACAAAACAAAAGAAGAATCAATAATAAATACTTACTCCGGTCCTTATTATAAGGCATTTTAATTTTATCTTAGGTTTCATCCACTACAACAATAATGAGTAGTTTAGACATTTTTTTGTGTCTCAATAAGTGGTGTTATAGGACACATGTGATTCACATTGCGTGAGACACTACTAAATAGTGTCTCCTATAATCGAGTCACAATAAGTCATAAAACATTTAAAAGTGTATTATTAGATTTTCACTTATTAAGACACTCTAAAGTGACCCATTAAGTAGGGTAATAGTTCACAAGTAACCCCACAAAGTACACTTATGATAGTGTTTCATAATATGCTTACACTTTTTCATTTTTAATAAGACACTTTTTCACAAATGTCCTAATACACATATAATGAGACACATTTTAGAAAAAGTGTCCCACTATAAAGGTATTAATAGCTCATTTTTGTTGTAATAATCTAAGATCTGTTTTTAATTGGAAAAAAAAATAAAAAATCTTAAAAATACGTTTTCACGTTCATTGTGTTCTCCTAATTATTAGTAAACATTTTTAAGGCTCTTATTTCAATTAAAAAGATATTCTAAATGAAACTTAGGATAAACCTAGGACAAATCAAAATATTTTATAATAATGACCGAAGGGAGTATTATGGGCTTGTTTGGATGGCCTCTCATTTTGCCTTTTGGTCTAGTTTTTTGTTTGAGTTTGAGATGTGATTTAAAATGTGTTTTGAGAAAAAATTTAAAAAATTATTTGGATAGTTTTTAATTATAATAATATTATTTTTTTACCACCACCGATCACCTTAACCACCTACCTCTGCCGCCAGACTACCCTCCTCTGCCGTCAGACCACCGCAGAGGGTGACCAGCCGGCCGGATTCCAGCCAGATTACGGCCAACTTGCTAGAAGTTGGCCGGAATCCGGCCAGTCGGTCGCCGGCCAACAACAATTCGACAACGACATGGAACGGTCCAGTGGTGGCGGGCGGTGGTGGAGGTGTTGTAATTTTTAAAAAAGTAAGTTAAATGTTGTTTAGATAGTGCATTAAATTTTGTATTTAAGAGATAAAATGAGACAAAATGCAAAATAATCAATCATTTATTTTTCAGTAAATTTTGGATCGTATCTAGTTTTTTGTTGGGTTGTAAAACTGACGATCAAGTAAAATATGAAGTGCATGGCATCAAGTTCGTTTGAGTCAATTTCACTATGTATTGGTAATGGAAACAAAATAGTTTAATTTTTAAATTTTGTCAAAATGATTCAAAAAAATGTATTTTGGTTTTTGTCGACTTTGACGTCAGTTTTGCTAAGAATACGACAAAGTCGACGAAACTACTTTTAGGCAAAAATAAACATTTTTCGAGTTTACATTGGTGCCAATAAATAAAAGAAGTTTAAAAGCATTAATAAATAAGAAAATGATATGTGTGGTGAAAATATATGAAAAAAAAAAACTGATGCGTACCCTTTATTTTGTTATTATTTGGTCGTTGAAATTTTATTTTTCTACTCAAATTTATACTTTTACCCTTAATTATCATGTACACATTAGTCATTATACATTTTCATTGTATATCTTTCATTGTCTCTATCATGATGTAATAAATATTGCATATCTCAATTATTTATTTTTCAATAAATTTTGAATCGCTTATACTTTTTAGCCAGGTTGTGAAAACCGATGATCAAATGGAAATTGGAGCGCATGGTATCAAGTTCGGTTCATCTCAAGTTTGACATTGGCAGTGGAATGTTAGCCAAAAAATTGAATATTATATCTTGAAATTTTTTTGAAAATGATACAATAAAGTTTATTTTAGCCTTTGTCCACTTTAACAACGGGTTTGCTTAAAAACAAGAAAGTCGATGGCACAATCTTTAACTAAATAAACGTTTGTCAAGTTTACATTGGTACCAATAAATAAAGGAGGCTGTAAGAGAAAAACTAAATATTAAAAAAGCAATTGTTTTCTTTTCAATAAATTTTGGATTGCATTCTACAGTTTAGTCGTGTCGTGAAACCGATGATCAAATGGAAATTGGAGTGCATAGTATCCAGTTTAGCATGTGTTATTTTAAAATTGGTAAATAGAGGGTTGACATAATAATTTACTCTTTCGGTCTAAAAAAAATCCACATGAAGTTTTAAAATTTTGTACTGAAATTAGTATAAACCTAAAATTCAGAGGACAATTTTTTTTTTGGCATAGAGACAGTACTATAATCTCTTGAAAATTTGGTGAAAATGATACCCGGAAAAAAAAAGAAAAAGAAAAAAAGAAGATGTTTTGTTGTGGTCTTCGTCAACTTTGGGGTCGACTTTGCTAAGAAGACTACAAAGTCGACGAAACCATTTTTAACCAAAAATAAGAACTTTATATTAGTACCATACTAAAGAAGGCTGAAAAAGAATCAATAAATATGATTAAAAAATTAATTTTTTATTTTTTCAGTAAATTTTGGATCACGTCTATTTTTTTTTTTTTAATTGAAACCAGGACGAAGCCTGGCAGGAGATTAATCCGATTTATTAATATAAAAATATACGTTACAGGTAGTATGAATACAAGGTACAAGAATAATCATTGAATTCTAAAATATGGAAAGCCCACACAATCTAAAGCAAGAAGGCCTCTCATTGTTTGAGGAAGATCTCTCAGATCAAGAAAACGTTGAGATGTACTAGAGGAGACCATACGAGCGAGTTTGTCAGCAACAAAATTGGTTTCACGATAGACATGGCTGATAGAGAAATTAAGACTATGGACTAGGAACTGGATTTCCCCGATATATGATCTGTACCGCCAAGGAAGTTCCTCGTACGATCACGTCTACTTTTTAATCTGGTTGTGAAAACCACTGACCAAGGAAATTGCAGTACAGCATGTCAATTTAAGTTCAGGCGGTATCAATTTTTTACATTGGTAATGTAGTTTTGACACTATAATTTACGATAGTACAGTATGCTGAGAATTCTTGTGAAAATAGTGAAGAAAAGAAAATGTAGCTTGGCCACCGTCGACTTTAGAGTCGGCTTTACTAAGAAGATGATGAAGTCGACGAAACAATTCTTAACCAAAATAATTTTTTTTCGCCCTAGATAAATATTTTAAAACTCAATTTTTTATTTTACCACAGACTCAAAAATCCATTGAGGTAGCAAACGAACAGCACATAATTACAGAGATAAAATAATAGCAAACTTGTGTATCCATTAAATTCACTTCTGTAAACCAAGACGAAGAGGTAATTAATTGGCGAATACTACAATTATGCATGGCTAATTAATTACGATCCCCATTGATCTCCTTTTGAGTTTCTACAAGTACAACAATAAAAGAGTAGTGATAGGTATAAGGAAAAAATGACAAGGAAAAATAATAAGGAATGACGTGTCAAAATTTTAATAATGCCCTGACCTTAAATGCATAAACCTTGTTTGGAAAATTTTAACAATGAATGGGTGAGATAATTTTCTTATAATTTTTCCTCGTCATTTTTTCCTTGTATCAATATTATCCACAATAGAAATGCAAATGCATGGATTTCTCTTAGAGCTGGAAGAAAGAAACCCATCAAAATGCAAATTGATATTTTTTTAGATATTTACAACATTAGGTATGTATAGTAATGAATCGGCCAGATTACGGTCTATATATGAAGCAGTAGCCAGTGCTTAGCTTGCTGGAGGAGCATCGAGTGAGCGCTTTGAAAGCATCACAAAGGGTTATAGAAGTTTCTGCGGTGAGATTAATCAATTAGTGGTTGAAGGAGTTTTTTCGGGCAGTTGCCAAAACAGTCTTGTCCGCGACAATAAAGTAAGCCATCCCAGCAACCGAAAGAAATACTCCCTCTGTCCTAAAATTATTGTCCAGTTTGAGATTTTACTTTTAGTTCAATTTGAACTAAAAATGAAAACTCAAACTGGACAATAATTATGAGACGGATGGAGTATATATATACTTGAGTAAGGTAACTTCTGCGGTGAAAAACGAAAATCAACAAACATAACTCTTTTTTTGAGGGGGCGGATCCAGTAGCTAACCTGTGGAGACGATGAGAGCTTGTGCCGTTGGATTCAGATGAGCTCTTGCCCAAGGAAGCATCCTCGTACTAGCCATCTGCATGAATATTATTTTGCATCAATTTTCTTCAAGAAGTTTCTCAAGGAAGAGATATAGCCAAAATCCTTTTTTATCTGGATACAATTTAAACAAGTGAAAATGATTCAATAACTAGTCAACTGGATTAGCAAGCAAATTTAAGTTGGATTAGGAGTTAGGACGACGGGTCATTGATTAATCATCCCTGGTTTTTTTACCTCTTATATATGTTTTCTTCTTCTGCCTCAATTAATTTTCCAACGTTCATTTTAACACGGTAAACATCATAATACTTCATTTTAAGATGGAAAAAAAAAAAAAACAATTTTGTATCTCCAGCTCAACACAATCATTTTGGAACAAATTATGAATGAGAGTAGCGCAGAACGGGTGGCGAGTAGGTATCCTCATCCACCACTCTCGTATTTCTAACCAGACACCAGAATAATATGCTGGAACTTTTAGGACTTTGGATTTTTCCATATTTCTAGCTTCAGTTTATTGATTATATTATTATTATACACGTGTATATATGAAAATCGGTTCGTATTGTTGCAGTTATTGTCTGTCCATTTTTCTTTTTTTTTAATTTTCTTTTTTCAGAAAGAGAGCAGAGCGCCACTTGTTTGGGTAAAGTGGGGATTTTTTTTCTTTTTTATAAAGACATTCCCAAAACCGTGGGTAAACATTGATATTGTGATTCTGATTATCCTTTTTTGTTTTCCTCACATGTAATAGATATATAATAAACAACAGTGACTAATCTGATCGCTGGATCTTGGGTGATTAGTACATAGCAGGTTGATCTTCAAGCGTGGGGCTTTCTTAATCTAAAGTTAACACATTCAGCTGTGGTTGGTTAGAGAAGAATGCAAAAGTGTGCAAAGCAGGCTGCACGCCCGCGTACCCACCCTAGGGGAAATTATTACAAGCATTCGTTGCATTTCATATTTTTCTGTTACAAATGAGTCAAAAAATAAGTAAATATTTTTTACATTACTAAGAAATAGTCCATATCGTTATACAACTCTTACGTGACTACATAGTTCAATAGGGTAAAATGAATGTGATGAATAAATTATTCACTAACGCAAGTTGTGACGTGGTTTTGAATTTTGAATCCTTTTTGTGTTTTTTTGTTGCTTATAGTGTTCTTGGTGAGTGTCTGTGTAAGATAATCAAATGAATTAGAGACGTTACATCCTCAAAGACAATATAAATGAAACAATTTCATGTTCATGAATCACATTTATGGGCATGGGCCAATGAAACTGTAGCAAGAAAATGAGAACTGAGCTACAAATTCAGTTGACTGCCCATTTGTGTTGTAAAAGGGTATGAAATGATGGGCTTTAGATTTGGGCTGAGATACACAAAGCCTTGTTGGGTAGCACCACTTTTCACTTTCCAAGTCTGGATTGCCCAGACGACAGCTTTCATGCTTTTTGGGATAATATCGCAATTAATAGATTGATCAGTCTCGATAATAACGATTAGGGATAAAAAGGTAGGAACATAAAATCACAAATTACAAGAAAGGTCAAATTTGTGAGGGATTTGCCAAATCTTGCAATAGCACGTAAAGTTTTAACCCCAACTTTGGCTCTTTCTTCTTTGGCCGGAAAAAAGGAACAGGCCAGTTTCACTTTCTCCGCATGCAAAATGAACTGACAAAAACAAAGCCAATTTCATCAATTGTTTTGTGGGCACCCACAACCAACCCCTCCTCCTCAAATGTTGCATGTGAGTAACCCTAAACCTGCAAAAAGAAATTTTTACCAAAAAGAGAACTTCCACTTACCATAATTGTATGAACCAGCTGAGAGCAACGCAACCCCCACACACAGTCACACACTAAAATATCCCAAGAATTTGTTCCTTACATATTGTTTGTATTCATGGAACTCATGTTATGTCAGTAGATTATAACATAATGAAGTTATTACGCACTGGAGTTTATTTTTTAAAAATGATATTTTACTTACATTCTCGACATTTCAAAAATATGTGTTCTGTTCAAAAATAAGAATTCAACTCTTGAACTCTTGGTTTCAGATTACGTCCATTGAACATTTTTCGGACGGACAACTGTTTGGGCTACTAAGGTTTTAATATTCTTCCCACTACTGATAAGTTGGATTGATTTGAGTAATTGGTTCTCAATGTATTTAGGGCCAAGCCATTAATTTCTTCAATCATTTTGACTTTTAACTCGTATAATCATGGTTCATGAGTGCTTTTGTTTTAACATTATCGTGGTGTTTTCTTTCAGAATCATAATGACAAAGTGAAATTTCTAATTAGTAGGTAGTACTACGTATTTTTATGACTTTTTTTTGGTTTTGGATACCATTTATTTCAGTCATTGCATAATTTTTCTAAAAAGTTCTTTTTTTTGGTAATGGATATTGTTAATTACTGCCAACTTTTATCTCGGTGTGGTTTTATAATTAGTTCACTACCGAAGGGGTAATTATTCGTCGATGGAGTCTTCTGACACATTACCGAATTAGAGAGCTTCATCTTTTAAAAGTTTAAAGTAAAAAAGCTTTCATCCTATATTGATTTCAACATTCTTTGCACAATGAAAGAAAAGTTAATACATTTTGTGATGAAAAATATTTATCATATCGTACACTCTTCCGTCACTGACAAAATAGTTCACGTTAAGTTTTGAGATTTGTTCATACAAATTTCAAAACTCAATATAAATTAATATAAATTTTAAAACTCAACGTGGACTATTTTTTTAGTTCAAAAGGAAAATACATTTTAACCGTAACCTGACTTTTAATGGTGGATCATTAGATATGTAGACAGATCCCATGCCAATTGATGTCAACAAAATTAACCAGATAATTTGTCAAAAATGCGTCCGTCAATTAACACGTCGAAGCTCCACAATCTGCTCCTCTGCTCTCAACATTTAAAATCGTGTTAGGATTTCTTCCTTGGTCAAAAAGACCTGATAACAAACAATGTGATGCCATCATTATTCTCTTTCTAAATATTATTTTTGTTACTTGATTTCTCTGTGTCATGACCACCTTGATGGTCCTGACTATAAATTTAATTACATCTTTTTAACTTTGCTATTACATATAATGATTTCAAAGAATCATTGCAAATGATACGGAAAAGTTAACAATAAATATTGTTATATCAATTAACTTCCGTGTAAGGCTATGGAACAATCATCTACTGTGACTTGATAACTTCATTTGTGGAAGTATAATCATTGCACAAAATTACGAACTTTTTTTTTTTTTTGAATAAATGAAGATAGTGTAACATGTATACATGTAAAGTACTCGGGAATTATGAAATACGTAAACAGACTCGTACAAAAATACAAAATTACGAAACACAATGTTTTTACCTTTTTTTTAATCCTAATATCCTAATATCCTTTTATGTTGACACTTTTCCTAAAATGTCTTAATAATAATTTTTTATAATGACATTTTTACTTAAATGCCTTAATAAGAGTGTCATTTTAAGTCCTTTTTCTTGTAGAGCATTTAAACCTGGTAAAATTAAAATTTCGATGAATTAATTAAAGAAAGCAAGTGAAAAACATATGATGGGCTTGTCTGGTTCTCCTGCTTTAATCTGCCAACGTGAAAAGATAACTAAAAAGCGCCAGAGACATGAAAGTTCCCAGATGGGAAAAGGGCAGCGATAATAACAAAAAGGGATATAAATCTATTAATAATAATTTTATAAATTTTTAGATTATTTTCCATCATTTTGGTATAATGTAAATAGTAATAATAATGGTAGCCACATGAGCTCATGAGTTCTCGTGAAATAAACATGGGTACAATTATGCTCTGTCGCAGTCTAACCAGTCTTTACACGTATATAATTTGTTTTTTTTTTTTCAAAAAAAAAAAAAAAATCAATCCAAGATGATGCAATACAAGTTCAGCAAAAGAAGGAAGATTATGTTTAATCCATAAAAAGTTTCTGAACAAAATATTCAAAAGAAAGTTTAATAACAGCCGCAGTTTTGGAAGAGAACACAGATTAATTGAGGTGGGTGATGACTGATGAACCACTTCTGCATTTTAAGTTTTTGAAAATTTATTTATTATCAATAAAAAGGAAATGATGGATTGTGCAGACTTTCTGTATAATGCTTAATTTGGAAGAAAGCAAATCCAAATTTTGAAATGATAAAAAAAAAAAAAGGGCCAATCATACTCAATACGTAATAGGAATTTTGGTATTGTAATTTGTGATATGAGCTAACCATTACGGATAATTTTACTGCATTTTCATCCCATAAAAATTTTTATGAGGCATAAAATGTCGTTTGTTGAGATTAATCGAGAATTAAAGAGAAGGAGAAAGATATATTACTATTACTGATTAGTACATACATCATATAAGCTGCTTCCACTAATCAAAATACAAATCTGTCACTAACTCATTAACATGATTTGTTAGCTGAGAAAAAACTTAAGAATGTATAACTAATTAACAGACAAATAGCTTATAAATATATAGCTATTTGTTGTCGATAAGGATACATGATCAGAACTACTACTACTACTACTAGTACTAATTAACTTGCAAAACTTACCTTCAAAAATCAATTATTTACAGAACCAAAAAATGAAAAAAAAAAAAAAAACCCTCAAAAGTAATCAAAATGATGATCAGGAATTTGATAAGGTGCATCTCTATCCTTCTTGCTCAATTTAGGAATATTCACAACTCTGTTATTCCTAATCTTTTGGTGAAGATGATCTTTAGGCACTTCCGGCGGCCGGACCGACCTGATCAGAGCCCAGTTAACACCATTAAAGAACTCATGCCTCTTGATTTCAGCTGACCCCATTGAACTTCCAATCCTCTTCTTGGGGTTCTTCACCAATAATTTGCAAATCAAATCTTGGGCTTTGAGCAATTCTTCATACTCTTTGGTGGTACTCACGGAAATTCTCGGAAAACTCAGGGGCTGTTTGAGAATATTGAACAGTGTCTTCTCATTATTCTCCCCTTTGAAAGGGGTCCTTCCATACAAAAGCTCGTACAAAAACACCCCAAAAGTCCACCAATCTACAGCACTGCCATGCCCCTGACCCGATATCACTTCCGGAGCCAAATACTCGTGGGTGCCCACGAATGATCTGGATCGGGCGTTGATGGGCTCCGCCACCAACTCGGTGTTGTACTCTTGTTGGTATTGGTGGGCGTAACCCGAACCCGACTTGTTGCTTTCAAGGTCTTGATCTTTTCCTCCTCCTTCTTCGTCGTCTTGTTGTAATGGAACTGGACGAGTTTTCCTGTGGCCAACTTTTTTCTTGTTGGATGTTGAGAAACAGGAAAGAACAGGCTGTATGGGCAACGCGCAAGATGGGGTCGAGCATTTTGTCATTGTGCCATTTTTACCGACCAAAGATTCGGGGCAAACCTTGGATTTTATCACCTTTGGTACGACATCGGATTTGAGTGAAAGATCGAAATCTGATAGCATTATGTGTCCGTCTTCTCTCACCAACACATTTTCTGGCTTTAGATCTCTATAAACGATTCCCAACATGTGAAGATACTCTAATGCTAACAGTGTTTCCGCACCGTAAAACCTGAAATAATTCGTAACAAAAAAACGTTACAGTATCAGTTTAACAAATACGACACTTATAATAATTTTTTTAAAAAATAATGGTAGTGTAACAGAGTTGACTATATTTTCAAAATGGTTTAATTTAATGAACTTACTTGGCTGAAGAAATGCTGAATCGTTTCCCCGGCTGGCGTTGCCGGGAAGCATGCAAATCGCCGCCGGGACAAAACTCCATAACTAAACAAGAGTAATGAGAAGCGTCAAAGTCAGCGTACAACGTTGGCAAGAAAGGATGGTCAAGCATGGCTAAAATGACTTTCTCCATGTCAGCTCTCATTAGCTTCTTCCTTATGGCTAGCGCTTCTCTGTCCACGACTTTCATGGCGTAAAAGCACGGCTGCAAGCCGACCATCGGGTTCCTTATCTGGCAGAGATAAACATTCCCGATGTCGCCGCTGCCGAGCCGGCGGAGGAGCCGGAAATGGTCCAGCCCGACTTGGCCCTTCTCGCACCTGAGCCGCTTCATGGCTTCCCAAGCGGCTTGGTTCGCCTTGTGCGGCTTGTGGCCATTGGCGAAGTAGCCGGTGTCGGTGGAGGAGCAAAGGGAGACGGAGCTCCGGCGACGGCTGCCGAGGCTGCTGAGGTTGCTCATCCAGCTCCGGGTTGAATCCGGTATTGTTATCGACGATGAACAGCTGCTGTCGTAATCGGAATCATCTCGGGGTGTGACCGCCATGATATGGTCCGAAGAGCATGTGTGGTTTGAAAACTTTGGAAGCTTTTGAGTTTGAGCTGATGAGGTAGGAAACTTAGAAGGGAAAAAAAATATAGCGGTTTGGGAAATGGGGGGTTTGGTCTTTTGGGTTTTATATATATTTATAACGGCGTTATGGGGGCAATAATATAACATATGATGTGTGTTGTGTTATATTAATGTGTTGCACTAATTAACAAAGTTACAAAGTGCTACTTTTGGTAGTGGAATAATTCCAGTGCTATCTCCCAAATCATATTTTGTTTAATCGGTTAATAAATTAATGTTAGTTCTCTAATACAACCTAGCTAGCTAGCTAGTTAAATTTGCAAGCTAAGATGTGATATCTCGTCGAAACAATATTACTTTGTCGTGTTGTTTTAGACTTTTAGTTTCAACAAAGAAAATTATTTATGAGCTAACGAAGGGACTATTTTTTTCTTAAATTTTTGGCTGCTGATTTCTTATCTTCATTGCTGCTTAAAGCCTTTAGGGGTTAATAGCGGTTAGATATTCCACCAGATGGTGTTAATCAATGATCTCAGTATGATATAATTATCTCGTAATATACTACTTCCTCTATCTTAAAAAATGAGTGTTTACTTTGAATTATTACTTTTCAAACAAAATTGAAATTCAAACTATACAATCACATTTTTAGGGTGAGAGTTCATATAAAAGTTATGCCTCCATTTTCATCAAATTTAAAACAATTTGCAACATTATTATTATTTTTTTTTTTACAGAGGAAAGAGGTCAATGCCTAAATTAAGATGCTAACACTCTCCTTGGATAAGAAACACCTAAAAAATTTGCAACATTATTAATTCACAAGATGTCTCGTTCTTGTTTGCCCCATAAAAGTCAATTGGTACTGCGTTAATTGTTTGCCATCAATTATTAGGTATTAGTTAGTTTAGTTGTTAGATTTGGCCTAACTTGAGGATTAAAGATAAGTTGATTGTTCTTAGAAGGACAAGACACGCCACGGGAAAAAGAATAAAATTTTTGCCAGTATATGGGGTTAGTAGAGACACATTGTTCAACTACCATTACAACATGAACCTCAACATTTGGAATGTATGTCTGCAGAAATGTTAATGATCAACTGATGTTCTTCCATAATAATCATAACATAGCAAGCAGCCCCAAAATGTTCAATAACACAATTGGATTAATTAATTGCCACGTATTTGAAACTACCACTTTAATCAAGGCAGTGGTTAATTATTCGTTTAATTTTTTAACAAACTAACAAGAAAGAATAATCTCTGTTGGCAATACCACACCCACGAATCGAAAACATTTGATTTTATCAGGATTTGTTAAAATTAGCACAATCATTTATATATATATATATATGAAAAATTCTATGGTCCAGTCGTTATTTTCTGACTGAACAATTAAGTTAATACACATCCAATAAAAATATAACATGTCATATATGATAATGGGGCGAGAAATATTCAAACAAATCCCTTTTAATCTTACCTTTATTATTAATAATTATCTAATCCAGTAATCTTTAATAGTAAAATAAAGTTTATATTTTTATTTAAATCCGATCTTCTCTTCACAAACACCATGTCATCAGAAAACATCATCTTCCCCGACTCTCTGTTCCCGTGAAATTAAATTCCACTTCCCAAGCTTAAGAGACGATTGTTCGAACTTCGGTTTTATATTATTCCTTCTTGTAAAAAAAAAACTTTTTCTAAATGCTAGCAAATTTCACAAGGCACCAAAAATTTGTGTGAGGCGTCGATTCATTAAAAATCCTAAACTCAGTTTTCTTTTTCCTTTTCTTTTTTCGGGTGACTGAGGGGGATTAAATTGTTTAGTTTCAAGAACTTTGAATCTGTTTGGGAGGGGAGTTGTTTTATTTGTTTGATTTCAGGAAATTTGACTCTGTATGCAGGAAGTCCGAAATTTACAACTCCTCGAAACAGGTTAATGATGATTAATTCATGAATATTTGGAATAAATAGAGGACGATATTCAACCGATATTGAATTGTTTTATGCATACAAATAATCTAATCTGAATAACGTCATCATTTTTTAAGTAATATTATACTTGACACTTATTGAATAGTGAGTTGGAGGAATTCATGAGAGAAATTCATTCCATTGGAGAATAATCATAGTTTTCTTGCGGGTTGAGTAAAATTTCTAAATAATTTACTTTTACTGATGAGGTGAAGATGATACGGTGCACTTGGTTTCACTGTTCTTAGAAACACCATTATTTTAATCTAATGGTTTTCATTCATTCTATTCATCCTACGGTTCAAAATATATGACTGAACTATTCAGTCAATTGGACTATAGTCACTCCATATATATATATATATATATATATATATATATATTTGGGGGTGGTTAGGGGATCAGAATGGGAGATGGTTATTATCAGGAGGTCGAAGGTTCGATTCTCACTGGACCATCTAATTTAATATATATATATATAGAACCAACTTTTTGTATATTAATTGTTCTTTTGGGGTCTGCAGATAGGTGTTTCAGGTTGTGAGCATCTCACTGAAAGACAGGAATATGGTAGTAGTTGGCTAGGAGTAATGAATTAATTACATATAATTCTTAAGTAGTGTTTTCCAATTGAGGCAACCTCCTGAATATGATGAAATATTTGGAAGTTTTAAGTATTAAGAACTAAAAGTTTACTAATAAACAAACAAATAAGACAACGGTCAATGGATATTATATAGTCAACTAGATTATACAATTATTATTTTTGTTTTAAATCGGATAATTATTTCGAAACGAAGAAAAGATATGTGCTTGGCTTACGCCTTTTGATTAGACAAAATAGCCCGGGGTTAATTAAGAAGTCTGTGGGGAAGCATAACAGAGCAGATAAGATTAGCAAAAACCCATAATCGAAGTAATTGAAGTAGTGACCATTTTCATGATGACCGTCCGTCACGACATAATACAAAAGGAACAGCCTTTTCTCTAAACAGTTTGACGGGTCAAAAAGGTGTGTGTATGGGTAAGGGTGATTTGTAGGAGAAAAGATACAAAGGGGTTGGGGGAGAAGAATGGCCTCCTGGTCCTGCTTTCTGTGTTATTTTCGTCTAACGTTGGGGAGCTTTTGGTAAATAAAAAAGTTAAGAGTTAACTCACATAATCATCCCCTTCCCCTGGATCGCATTCGCATAGGATGAAAATTATTCCATCCAATCTCTCGTATCAATGTTTTAGGTTCACTATTTTCTACTGCACTTTTACTGTACGTAGCACTTCCTCAACTACTTGTTAAGTTTGGTTTCGCGTCTTATTTTTTGCCCTTACATATAGGCATCCAATGGTGAATTTAAGGTACTACTTTTAATTTCAAAAAGTTTGATATCGTTTAAAATGAAATGTATCAAATTCCTAAGGAGTGTTATAGAATGCTTTACACAAGATATGGTACTGAAAATCCTTAGCGAAATAAAAGCATTTAATTACAAGATTAAAAAATATATATATATATTAAAGTCCGATCTCCGGCCCTAATTTGTAGATCAAATTTCTCATAAAATTACCCAACAAGAAGTTGAGCAATGAAGCGGATTGAACTTCACACATGGTGTAAACAAAACACCTAAATAAGATTTGACGGGAAAAACATAGGTATAACTAAAGAGTGAACGAGGTTAAAGGCAGGTTTTAGGTTTATTTTATCTTTGGAGGGATTCGGGCGTTAAAGAAGGAAAAAAAAAATTGATTGATAATTAAATCTCAAACAGCAGCAGCTTAATTAGGTGGTTCTTAAGGGTCATATGCTTCATTTTTCTTGTTTTGAAGGATGAGCGAGTAATTTATTTCATTAATTCATGAGGTGTTGGACTTTATTGATTAACTCAAAAAATAAAAAATAAAAAATAAATTACTTGTAATAGATCTTCTCTGCAAAATGAATCTTATGGCAGAAAAGAAAAAGGGTAAGGAGAAAAAAAAAAAGAAAAGAAGAGAAAGAAAGCAAGAAAAAGCTGAAACGGACATGCATGGAGCACCCGTGCTGCTTCTTCAATTGATTTCACACACTAGAAGTGTTTAAATGATTTTAATAATAATATATAATCTGAGGGAGGATCACGGTAACAGAGAGAAAGAGGGAGTATATCCTCTTTTGTAAGTAAAATCCATGGATATCCAACCACCTTAGAAACGGTGAAATTGGTGATGATGATGATGATTGATGATGAGTGATGATATATATATATATATATATATATATATATATATATATTAGTATTAAAAGCTGAAACTCCCCATTTATCGAAATTCTTGCTTTGTCTTTGAATGCTTAAACTTATTTGCAAAGCACCATGTGAATCCGTGTGAATGTAATAAATATACTTACTTATATAGCTAGGTCACGTACCCTTCCCTCGGACCATCCATGATATCTACCTCTCAATCTCGCCCGCCCAGTAGTACCACTTTTTTCAGAGTATCGAACTTATAATACGTCCATTTTTTTCCCATTGTTAAAAAACATAAAACTCTACGGATATAAAAACAACTTTCAATTTTAAGCTAATTTATGATTATTACACCCTCAAAGTACCTATAATATTCAGTAAATGGATTACTTAATATTGTCAACGGTGGTGGATCTATATATGTACTCTTTCTATCCAGATCTCAAGATTCATTGTGAACTAATTCTTCTGGTCCTTATTACTATAATGTATTTTGATTTGTCATAAATATTATTTATTATATTTTTTTAATTGAGAATAAAATTTTAGAAATAATTTATAATAATTAGGAGAACGCAATAAATGTAAAATTATGTTTTTAAGATTTTATTTTTCAATTAGAAGAACACAATAAATGAAACTTTATACAAACCAAAATATTTTATAATAAGAGCGGAAAGAAAATAAACAGAAGAGGAAGTAAATATAAAATTTTCTTTCTTCACAACTCACATGAATAGATTATGCTAAACACAGTGATTTAAGTTACAATTCTCATGATGATTAGTTAAAACAAATCCTATATTATAATAGGATGTTACAACTATGATTTCACTCCAACCGGAAACTCAATTAAAATCAGCTCTTTTTCTTCCATGATTAATTTAAGTGCCCCTTCTATATAGTTGTAGGGGTAC